ATGTATGTATATATATATATATACATATAAATATATATATATATATATATATATATATATATACATATATAAAAAAACGTCTGTGCCCGATCGTCTGTCACACCTTTCATCATCATATGACAGATTATTATTACCATACCAACCAGGCCTATAATCACCAGCCTGTTTGACAAGTTTGGTTGAGCAATAGTACCGTTAAAGGGTTATTTTATACTTTATTTTCTACAGTACTCGCCTATAGAGATATATAGTTGAGGCATAACATGAACATAACATAACATTTTTAAAAAGTTTTACGTAAACATAGAACTCTTCAAATCAAGATATGTAGTATTTAGGTGTTTAATGTTTCTGGAAATTTAAAAAAAAAAAAAAAAAAAATTATTTTTATTTTTTTTTAAATTTTTTAAATTTCACTATCATTTAATGGTTAAAGTAAGTAAGGAAGTGTTACACGGTACTTTAATACAAAATAGTCATATCAAAGTCATTTGTTTTTACATAACTTTGTACGTATTCAACTCGGTTGTTTTTTAAAAAACAATATCTAAAAAACAAGTGTTTGAATTTAAATATATTTCACACGGATTCAAATATTCATTTTTGAGAATGGATGGTTTTAAAAATTAAGGATTTCATGAATTAAGTATTTTTTTTACTTTAGCAATCAATGTAAACCAAAACTCGGATGTTGAGGGCGATGTTTCTGATTCAGTTGCCGAAAATAGTGTACTGTGTATACAGCAACACTCTGCTATGTTAATTGGCTGTTTGAAGAAAGAATTTAAATAAATACAAAAGTATTATGCAAGTTACATTTTTCTGTTTTATTTTTCAAAAATTTTACAGTAAATCTTAATATTTAAGTCTTAATATTCTTGGTATATAAACATAGACCAAAAACATTTAGAGAGTGAGCTTCACTGTATCAGATTGACTGCCCAATCAGAATGCACCATTCATTGTTGATTTTTTAGCGCATTTTGGGGATTGATCTGACACTAATTTGCTACGTTAACAACAATGTATTGCAATGTCAGTACGGAAGGTGATGATGCCTAAATGGTTGAAATATTACCTTTTTATTGTTAAAAATCATGCATTTCATGGATGCAATTTTGGTTTATTTGGTAATAAAACATTGATATGCTATTTGCGAGAATTGTCATTATAAATTCCACCACACTTCTAAACAGTTCTATTCCAAATTCTCCCCTGCTGTCATCAAGTGGATCTATTTCTCTTTTGAGATTCTCTAATGCATCAGAACTGAGAGGGCATGTAACCGCTGGTACATTTACATCTTCATCTTCATTCCACCCAGAATTCATAACTTCTTCATTATTTTGAACTTCAAACAGCTCCTGCACAGCAGTAAGATTGGTGGAAAAAAGCTGTAGAGATCTTTGCACAAAGAGTTGTATTAGAGAAAGCTGATGCTCTGTTCGTAGACCATGGTTGTTCCACTGATTTCTAAAAAGAGTAATAATATCCCTGTTTACCCTTGGAATGTATATATAGTGCAAAGCCCAAAGCTCATGTTCTTTATCAATATCAAGAAGACGCTGATCTTCGAGAAAATGAAATAAATCATAATAAACATTTGTGACTCCATTCCGCAAATCCACCCATGACCGTTCGATTCTTTGGTTGTGGACACTTCGTCCACGTATTGCCGATCTCCTGTCAGGTCCTCGAATAACATTCATTATGTTGCATAATATGTCATTGTTTTCCCCATCATGATTTAGGCCCACTCGTATTCTGGAAGGAATACCGTAAACAGATGTGGCTGCAAGAAAGTGTCTGGCCACAACTTCTTTGGTATTGTTGTCAGATGCAGAAAGAAAGACCAACATTGTGCTGTACCCTTCAATGCTTCCATGAATAACAATTCTCCATCTGCAGATTACAAAAAGTACAAACATTAAATATTTAAAAACTGCACAATTTTACACCTTTTCCCCAGTCTTTAAATATTCAATAATCTGTACCTCATTCACTGTTCCCCAGTTCTGTGCCAAACAACTTTTTTCTGTCCTGGAAAAATCAGACCTACAACATATCAAAAAATCACATTATTGTTCCATGTTAGTGTTAGATAGGTATTGGGAGACCGTATGAGCTCTATTCCATCCCCTGTAAGGTATTTAAAGGTACATTTAGCAGGTGAAACACACATTTCCGCGAGAGAGTGTTTTCTTTAAATAACTTTAAATTGTATTCAACGCACTAAATTTAATCCAAATTAAGGTTAGGTAAGTACCAGGTGACCAGTGCAAACGTTTACTGTAGCCTGTGAGTATATTTAAAGGTGCTGTGTATTGTGATAACATAATTTCGGCGAGATTACCCTTCCCATTATCCACCAAATATCATTAGATAATCAGTGAAGCGAAGTCGGCCAAAGTATTGCCATATAATTAATATTCTAAACAAGTGGATGATCCAGGAATTTGAAATTGAGGGAGCCCCTGAGAGGGACTTTCACAGAGAGAGAGTATATACTACCTCAGTCCCACCATGGTTGGGGTTGAGGTGAGAAAATTAATGATTATGGCACCTCCAGATTGCAGGAAATAACACTATTGGACGAATACATTTTTCTTTTTTGAAAAATTGGGAGGGGGAGGAGGGCACCTCCCCTTGAACCTGCAACTGTAAAAATAAAACTGAATATATTATTTTGTGATTAACATGGTCATTTTATAATATATTTTATCCAATTATAATTATAGAACATACGGTAGACGTTTTTTTTATCAGCCACACTCCCTGAAGTGGTACAGTATACATAGTGCATACTAAATACTATATTCTCTTAATTTGTGACACATCCTCGTCGAACATTTTGTAGAGACTAGTGTTACTGTACAATTTTTTCTTTTTGATATTTTAATGGACATAATTAGGTACTCAAACTATGCTAGTAATTGCAAGACATTAAAAAAAAAGGCACTATGGTATATTTCATCTAGATCTGTGCACGCGTCTGGATGGTTAATCAGCACAAACATTTTCTCCTTACGCACATCAATATGTGATTGCCGCTGCCGCCACCACCACGTCCACCACCGCCGCCGCCACCGCCGCCGCCATCATCATCATTATTGTTATTGTTATATATAGAGTTCTCCTGCAGGTTGCACCTTTGTTTTCAATCAGACGTTTGTTACCGTCCATTACGCCTGAATGACTTCATAATCTGGTTTGGAACATGCTATCTGGAATAGGCATTTTAAAACCTAATAATTTACCATCAACATGTACTAAAAACACAAAGGCTCGCATAATATTACTTATCGAACACACATTTATTTTAATCATCAACTAAAATTTACAAAGACAATCTAAGATGCAATATCTTAACTGTAATCATTACGTTAAAAATAGTGTCACTGTAGTACTCTTTGCACAGAGATATATTATATACTGTAAAATCAGATGACAAGTATTTGGGGAAAATATTTAATGAAAATGTAGGGGATTGTCTCCCGGTGTACGGCCCAATCACCCCCAGAAGGACCCCACTGGAAATAAGTCATATTCTAGACTTTCGTGGGCTATCCTTGGTGTTTACATCGAATAAATCCAATCCAACCCAATCCAAAAAAGAAGTCATAGGTTTACCCAAGATGCTCTATTTCTTGAACCCACTAGGGCTCCTACAGGGCCCTAAATGCATGTAGATGTGTTAGGTCAATAAACTATGGAAAAAGAGTGGTGAAAAATGTCATTTATTTTGGCTGTAGACTAAAATATAAAATTAAATTTAGACATAAGAAATACAAATGTACTTTTTCAGGAGGTAAAAACCCAAGGATTAAACGGATTGCAGCGGCCTACTTGTAATTTACTTCAATTAGGCGAGACTTATACCTTGTTTCGCAAATTCATCTCTCGCACAAACTGATGATGTCAAATAAAAAGAAAATATTCTTTTTGTTCAATTACTACACCCGCTACCACGAACAATGGAAATTCCAGAAAAAAATACCTAGGTGTTTTTAAAATTTGTTATTACGCCCGCAAATGTGTGTCTAAGTCATACAGCATTCTTTATATTCCTACAGTACATTCATAGATAGTAATGACAAACTGTTACTTTTCTACAAAGGAAAATGCCTGTATGCAGAGGCAGCCTAATAAGGTGTAAGAAAATGTTCTGAGTACTGCTAAATTAAATTGTAAACCCGGTTTTGTTATTGTGGCATTTGTGTCAAATTCCAATATTAAAAAAAAATTATAAAAAATAATATTGGGCATTAACTTTGCACTTCAATCAAAAAACAATATTGGGAACATATAAAACTTTCGACTACTTTTTAAAGAAACAAATTTGTATTGATGCCTAGACCAGTAAACAAAAGTCAAGCTTATTATTTATTGACTTTTCATTTGGTCACTAAGGTATTAGATATTAAGACTTACTGATTGTTTACTTTTATTGATTACTTTGTTACTTGTACTGATCAGATACTACGTTCTGTAAAAAAACTATCTGATTTATGTACTGTGCAAAAACATGATATAAATGAAATGCTTTCACTGTATAATAATATTATCAAAATATTTTACCAGTTTTTTGGTTTATAAATGTGCCTCCCACAATAGGATAGTTTATTGTTTATATTGTACATACAGTAAAATATGTATAAAACTTGTATCGGTAACTTTGTGCACTCAATATCAGATGAAATTTAGAGAACTGGTCCAAAAATTGCTATTCTAGCCTATTTCTACATGTCTCCTTGGTTAAATGCCTGATAAAAAGGCACCTGTGAAAAATGTTAACACAGGAGCTTACTGATTAAAAATGTGATTACAAAATTAATTCAGGATGAAAATGTACAGTGTAGGTACAGCAAAAACAAGCTTGTTATGGACTGCTGGAATTGGCTGCCATATAAAATCCAACGACCTGAAACAAATAAAAATATAAGTTTGGTTACTTTGCCTGAATAAATACAATTTATTGAATGTAAACCACAAATTTTCACATCAATTTTCTGTATTTCTTAATGAAAGGTATTGTGCCTCCATTATCTCATCACACTTAAATTGGCTTACTGTTCTTTCCAGTTTTCTTTTAGAAAACTGGAGAGAGGACATTGAAAGTAAGGCCTCACTCACTAACTATTCATTACTTAAAGATACAATTAAATTAGAAAATTATCTATTAGATAAATTGGATTTCGAAGGTGTATCATTGAAATTTAAAACTTCGCTCCAATACATTGCCCCTTGATAGTAGAATTTCTAGATGGTCTGAAGAAAAGAATGGCTTATGTACTCTTTGCAATACAAATAATGAAGAAGACAAAGACACTTCTTATTCTCTTGTCCCGCTCTCCTAAACATACGTTTAGAGGAGTTAAATAAACTTGAATATAAATTAAGTAGTCATAACATCAATGTTTGGGATCAATTTTTAAGTGCTAATATTGATATTAAATTAAGCTACGTCCTAGGCTCCACTGCTTTTTCCATGACAAATGAAGTAGAGAAATACTTTTATGAATTTTCTAAAAGTTATGGAAAACAAGCGTGGAGAAAAAGATCTGAATTGAAGCACTTGCAAACTTTATCGTAGATTAAGTATCTGTATTACTGTCTTTTCCTTTTTTTTTTGTAACTAATTAATTTTGTTTGCCTTAACATTATTGTTATTATTTATTGTTTGTTGGTGGTACAGGTGGCCCTTCGAAATTTGTGACAGACAAGGCAGGTTGTATTTCCTTGTCATGTTTTTCGGGAAGCTACTTGCCTCATCAGCAGCACTACTCACTTGTGTTTATTTCATTTTTACTTAAGATTCCCTTCTTTTGTTTCGTAATTTTTTTTTTTTGTACTTGTAGCTAAGAATTTTAATTCACTTTTAACGTACCAAATGATTTTGAGTGCCACCGATCTAAAGGTGTATGTTCTAATAAATGATTGATAACAGGATGGTGGCTATAAATTAAAATATAAGATCACAGATATTGCTTTTATCACATTGGAAATGGTAAATCATAGGCTTGAAAAGTTTGTAAATTCTTTTTTTATTCACAATTTGTACTTGTTAAAATTCTGTAAATCCTGTTTCCCACTGCAATAAGTTCATATAGCACTCCCCCAGAACGCGCTTAAGAAGGTCATCCTGTCTGGGCCAGTCCGAGGGGGGCTGGGTGTGATCGAGACCAATCTCGCCCAGAACCTTTACGTCTCTTGACCCAGTCAGGAATCGCAGCCGCTCGAACTGAGTTGCCGTGATCTTCTTTTTGGGATGAATCCCGATGCCCACCTCGCAATGGGGTTGGCGCACGACAGCTTATCTCCCGGAAAGTGAGATAGGTGGCAGGATCGCAATATACCGCAATCCCACCCCCCACAGCCACAGGTTGGACTCCCTCCTGGAGGAGTTCCGCCCTCCCTACTTCGGTTAGGCTCGCTTTTGGATGCAAACCTAAAGCCCTGCGTAGCCGATCCAAATGGAAATGGGCATCAAAAACGCGTGGCCGCGCTTCTGGGACCCGACACGATAGATGGGTTTCCCCTTGAGCATCAAGCCCAGACTGCTCCGTCGCTCTCTCCTGATGCAATAGTTGGGGAGCTCGCGAGACCCCCTGAGCATCAGCTCCAACATCGCGCTGCGCCTTCCTCTTCTAGGCCAAAAAAGGAAAGCAGCCTAGCCTAAGCCTTGCGTAAAAAAGATAAGCCATTGTTAAATGTTATGTTTCCATTTCCAATTAAAGCATTTGTTAAGTCTTACCTAGTTTAAATGTACGTCCGTATCGTATACACCTCAAACACTCAGATTTTTGTTTAGTGTTGACGTTAATTTCACGGGAATTTACGTATGTTGACGCAAATTTACCTACATTGACGCAGATTGTTATGGTTTGAGTAAAATGACGCGATACTACCTTCAAAAAAAGTTTCCCTATGCTAAAAATGGAAGAGCCAAGCCTACGTCACTGTTTTGCAAAGCCTGGCTGCTTTGCAAAGCCTGGCTGACTTACGTCTCGCTGCCGGTCTGCAGCAGGATCTCCATCGAAGCGAGCGGTAATAGATGATGCGAGGGGTCTTGGTTGACGAAAAGTAATGACTGGCTCGGTGATGAGTAATTAGTGACAGTAAATCCTAGAATGTTCTAGAAGGACAAGAAGGGCTTTTTGCAACCAAAAAGAGTTACAGAATTCCCCAGGAGAAGGGAGTTTTTTTTTTTTTTTATTGTTTTGATAATCTTCTCGTGAAAGATTGATAATGCTGGCTAGTGCGGGGACGGTACGCTTGTAGTAGGTGAGAATATAGGCTATTTTGGGATCGGTGATGGAATCCTAGGCCTAGCTAATCATCATCTGATATTACATCTAGTTTTATGTGGAATTCTCAAAGGACATTTGGAAACCTTTTTACATCTTTATTATTATTGTACTGGTTGGAATTACTCTCCTATATATATAGTTTTGGACAGATATATTGTGAAATCGCTAGTGTATTATGGTACTTACCAGTGACGGTATTGTTTTCCCGCGTAGCAATTACACAATTGGTGATTACACTGTCAACCATGCAGCTCGAGCTCTGGACTTGAAGTGCTCTATCTTCCCGAGAGCCTTGGGTCTGCCGGGTGTTGCACGTGTATTGGTAATATGCAAATGCGCTGACCCGAAGGTCGTAGTGCCTCAGTGGTCGGGCTACATTAACCCTGCGAGGGTCGTCACTACATTCCCCCCTTATTTGAAAGGGGAGCCATTATCTCGCGGAAGGGTACCCATCCGACCCATGGATTTAGGGGACGGAGGACGGAAAACTTCTCATAAATAAATAAAGCTTCTCTTAATCAAAGAAATGAAAAGGCTTCTATAACAACGAAAAGTTTTCTAATTTTTTGAGCAACAGCTCAAAACAGGTCCCGGCCGTTTTTCCAGGTCAAGTCTAAGACTTGCCGAGGAGATTGGCCGATGACCTGGCCCACTGCCTCTGCAGTTGCCCAGAGAAGATGAGGCGCACCCACGCGCTGCCCCGCCGGCTTGAAATATGGTCCATCGGACTCGATCAACATCCGGCGGTCATTGTGCTCGAATAGGTACTTGCAGGCAGTTCGTTGGGCCTCCCCAAACCTATTCACGCTCAAAGAGAAACTAAAATAGGTATTAGGGAAGACCCGCAGATATCGATCAACGACCCCGACTGTTGACACGAAATTGTGCAGCATAAGCTGCTGTTCGCGCGGGATATTGAGCAGGCGAAGGATGTCGAGACCTCGCAGGAAACATTCTTCCGCTGTCTCATCCTCCACCATGCCCCGGAGGTGCAAACATATGACCAGGTGACGTCGGCGCATATAGCACTCCCCCAGAACGCGCTTAAGAAGGTCATCCTGTCTGGGCCAGTCCGAGGGGGGCTGGGTGTGATCGAGACCAATCTCGCCCAGCACCTTTACGTCTCTTGACCCAGTCAGGAATCGCAGCCGCTCGAACTGGGTTGCCGTGATCTTTTTGGGATGAATCCCGATGCCCACCTCGCAATGGGGTTGGCGCATGACAGCTTATCTCCCGGAAAGTGAGATAGGTGGCAGGATCGCAATATACCGCAATCCCACCCCCCACAGCCACAGGTTGGACTCCCTCCTGGAGGAGTTCCGCCCTCCCTACTTCGGTTAGGCTCGCTTTTGGATGCAAACCTAAAGCCCTGCGTAGCCGATCCAAATGGAAATGGGCATCAAAAACGCGTGGCCGCGCTTCTGGGACCCGACGCGATAGATGGGTTTCCCCTTGAGCATCAAGCCCAGACTGCTCCGTCGCTCTCTCCTGATGCAATAGTTGGGGAGCTCGCGAGACCCCCTGAGCATCAGCTCCAACATCGCGCTGCGCCTTCCTCTTCTGAGGGAGAGTCACGGGTAGAGGGTAAGCCGCTTCAGCTTCCGCGACAATCCCCCGGAACGCCCCCTCCTCAACTCGCTGCCCAAATGCAGCGACACAGCGCCAATGAATCAGGACTGCGGGATCGCTTATTGGGTTGACGGTGAGACATGCCGTCACGTCAGCCCCCATCGCTTCCCGCAGCTTGGTCATGGCCGCTCGAGTCCTCACATCAATGGCCCAATGCTCTCCCGGTTCCCCCGTGGATCGCTCCCGGTTTAACCTGTTTACCAGGTCATGGAGAGAAGCTCCCTCTCCAACGATATACTGGGCTAGCTCCTCCAGTACCCTCAGTTGAATATTGGTCCGGCGCTTGGTGCACCGGGGCTGGGGTTTGAAACAGGCTGGGGCGTGACTAGCGAGGATGTGGATTCGCATGTTCACCACATTGTGCTCAGTACACCCTGGATACCGGCACAGGTTCTTCGAGCGTTGCCGACGAGCTGATTCCTTTACCGGGGCAGATGATGGCTCCAGTGGGTGAGGATCCAATGCCGGGGTAGATGTTGGTTCCGATGGGCGGGGGGACTCAATCTTAGGCGAGTCAATCACCACCAACTCCACTTCACCCTCCTTTGGAGAACCCACCAACTCCATTTCACTCTCCTTTAAAGAGCCCAAATCCATTACTGAGGAGATAAATACAAAACATTTTAATATCCACTCAATAGTTACATGGTCGGCTCCCACTTAACCTCTGCAACCAGCGCATTTGTACAAATCAATGTTCAGCGCGTCCAGCTGCGAGACATTTACACAAGAACCATGGTACCAGACATCACAGTAGTCACATTGGATCATAAAAGTACCAGCCCAAGGCTGGCGACAGTAACAATAGAGTGTGTCTGATGAGTCATCATCTTCCTTATCTGTGAATGAAGAACTTGGTAAAGAAAAGTTAGTTAACCATTTTTGAAGCTGCCTGTCTCGACAGGGCTTCAACTTGTCATGGTTGAGGGTCATTACCTTATTCCTCAATTTTACCCTAAACAAATATGGCGTGATTACCTCAATTATAACCCCTGGACCCTTCCAAGGAGGGCATAACTTTTTACATTTACCCTTCGGTGAACTATGATCCAACACATATACCTTATCCCCTATTTGATAAGGGCATTTCAGGATACGAAGATCATAATTTCGTTTCATGTGCCTCTGAGTTTCCCTCAAGGTCTGTCTTGCTACCTCATGAGCATTTCGAATGGAGGTTACTAGCTCAGTAATATAGGTCCCTACTTCCGCAGCGTTCTCCGGTCTCCCATCACCAAAAACTAGATCAGCAGGTAGACTAACCTCGCGACCCAGCATCAGCATGTTTGGAGTGAAACCTGTGGAACGGTTAACGGTGGAACGTAAAGCTCCAGCAATTTGCGGAAGATGGATATCCCAATCTTTCTGTCGTTTCCCCACGAAGCACCTCACAGCATCCATCAACGTTCTGTTGAAACGTTCCACTTGCCCGTTGGTACGAGTCTTGTGGATCTGTAAAACCTTACGAGTCGTCTTCTTACTGCGATTACAAATTTCACAGGTTGTAACATATCGCTCAACATCCTTGCCCATCCCATACCAACAGAATTTCTCTTTAAGTCGGTGTTTCGTTCGCGTGACTCCTTGATGACCAGCAGAAGGTATATCGTGGTGTAACCGCAAGGCTATTGGTTGTAACTCCCTTGGTAACACCAAAAGGTGTCCTGCTGAATCTTCTCGTCTCAGGAACAGGATTCCCTTGTCAGTAAGATGTAGGCGTTTCCTGTTTAACCAAAAGAACTTAGTAGCGGGGCTAGTAAGGAACAGTCTATCCTCGGAGGGCTCTTCGTTCTCCAACCAATCAAAGACAGGTATGAGATCTGAATCACTCCGTTGATGCTGCTTGATTTCGTCACACGAATAACCCCAACACATCGCTACATCAGAGCTTGGTTTTACTGCAAAAACCCTACCCTCATCCTGCAAAATAGATATTTCGTTTGTTTCATCAACGGAGGAAGGTCTGTGAATTTCAATAGTTACCTGTCCCCCTGTGTTTCCTCTCTCTACCCCTACAACATTGACTTGACCAATTGGCACAACATCATCCACCTCATCTCTGAAGCTCGCCCATCTAGCATGCGCTCGTTGACAATATGAACAACCACCACATGGAAGATCATCAGGTAGTACTTTGTGTACATGATGGTTAGATGATGTATCTATGCGGGAAAGAGCATCTGCATTAGTGTGCAACTTACCCTTCCGGTGCTGGATTACCATGTTATATTGGCTAAGTTCCTCAATCCATCTTGCCAGTTGACCCTGCGGATTTTTGAAGTTCAGTAGCCAAGTCAAACTACTGTGATCCTGTCTCTTATACACATCTAGATGTGTATAAGAGACAGAATGTAGAGTGTGTGTGTCTAGTTAGGAAAACTATCGCTAGAAGCTCTTTGCGAGTGGTGCAATAGTTTCGTTGTTCAGCGGACAGTCGTTGGCTCGCATAGGCTATAGCCTTTTCCTGATCCTCTTGAACTTGCAACAGCTCTCCACCCAGCGCTTAGTCGGACGCATCTACATCTAATATAAATTCATCATACGAGTTAGGTAAAGCAAGCACAGGGGGTTGAACCAGAGCGAGTTTAAGAGCTTCAAATGATTTCTGCTGTTCAACTCCCCACATGAATTTGACATTCTTACCCGTGAGATGATAAAGTGGTACTGCAATATCAGCAAAATGACCAATGAATTCTCTATGGTAATTTGCTAATCCCAAGAATCGCTGAACATTGTTAGTGTTCTGCGGCACCGGCCAATCCTGGACAGCCTTCACATCAGATTCGGACACTGACAGCATGTCATGTCCAACGATGCGTCCTAGAAATTCTACTCTTTTCTGAAAGAAGATACATTTTTTAGGTTTAAGTTTGAGATTGCTATCCCTAAATGTTCCCAGAAGACGTGTCACATTGCATAAATGATCATCAAAATACTTACCCAACACGATGATGTCATCCAAGAAAGCCAACACGATGTCCCAGGCCAAAC